TGTATACGTATATATTTATAAATGGAGATGTATATATAGAGTGAATAATATTTTTCACAACGAGGTGTTTCGAGATTTGAAAAATGAGAGACAATAATTTTTTCGAGTTCCAAGAAGCGTGAGTTGCTAATAAATAAACAAAATTGGAGCTTTATTAAATTTACGCTCAGCAGGCATGGCTATCCGAATGTCAATTAACTTCATTGCCCCTTCTCTTTTATCGCTTGACGTTATTCTGTATTTCCGGGAGGTGGTTCACGGACCAATGGCAGGTACCAGTCAAAAGCACAGATGGCCGTGCTTGCGCGAGGCTATGGCTATTCGCCGGACCATTTCGGACTGGATTAATGCAGACCCAGCTGCACCATCGTCGGGCCATCATAAATCTAACTTAATCTCAGATACGCGTATGATGGAAATATATATATATATATACACACACATATACATACATCGAGTCAAATAAAGAATTGTTAGGTAAAAAATTGTCGAAAACGTCATCGTTACTATGAACCGACTTTCAATTCAAAACAAAAACACGTTACCAATTAGAAGATTATTCAGATTTTCACGTCCTCCCCCCCCTCTCTCTCTCTCCAATCAACCCTTTATCACCAAGTGTAAAATAAAATTTCCGATAAACGTGAAATGCAGAATTTAACAAGCGACACTTTTATTTGATTTTGTGTCAATCAGGCTTTTATCGTACAATAAACTTTACTCTAATCTTACATTGACAGATTGAATTTTTTTTTAATCTGCAGAGATTACATAACTGCAAAAAAAATAGTCGAGGTGAATTTGTCGATTAATTGGGAGAACAAAATTTTGCATATTCAGGGAATAATGAATATATAATTACGGCGTAAGATTGGATTAATTTTTGAAAGAACGCATATTTGCAAAGTGAATATGGAAAACTAATTTTGAATTTGATTTTTAATTTTGAATTCATTTGATTTAAATTTCCCGCCATTGTAGTTTTGTAGCTGTCCGGCAGATGGCAAGGGGACTTGTTTCTCGTAATCGGAGAGAATATAATGAACAGTGACTCGATGAAATTCTCTTCAGTTTTAGTTACACATGAAAAGTTTTATCGAAAAATAACCTGGCGTTGTAATCAATAAGTAAATAAAAAATACTATTTATTTGACTTTTAAAAATTTAGTATCAAATAAATATAATTTTTATAAATAAAAGTTCGAGGTTGACGATCACTTATAGAGTTTTTATGAATAATTAAATTCTTTTCATACGTTTCTTTAAAATTTTTGAAAATAATGTTTTTTTTAATAATTTTAATTAAAATTTTTGAAAATATGTAATTGAATTGTGCACTGAGAAAACTGGAGAGTCAAATTCAGAGGTTCAAAAAGTGTATGTTTCCTTTGCTTATGAAGAGAGTTAAATAGTCCTTCTAAAATAAATTTTAAATTGATAATGGAAATCTACTTGTATATTCTCTCCCATTATATCTGAGGGTTAAAAGTTGCGCAGAAAATGTGTACGATCTGTTGCGCGCGAAATTATTTTTCTGACATTTTATGTATTTAATTTAGGGGTTAGGTTGCCATATTTATTCATTTCGCGCCGGATAAGGAAGGGATTTCTCAAGATGGTTAATTTGTCCCTCTGTTAGAGAAATGGCACGAATATCTGTCAATGGTGAATTTGAACATTTAGATTGTTATCCAATAGCTAACTCTCAAATATGAACGATTTGTCCCTCCAGATGTTTAGTCCAATACTCCAGTTTTCTCAGTGTGGAGAACAATTTAATTATTTATAAAGAATTAAAGATAATTGAAATTTTAAGGAGAATTTAAAAAAAAATTTGAAACATAATTGAATTTCTACGAAGAATTTTATTACTTTTCAAAATAATTGAATTGTTTATTAATAAAAAATTCTATGGAAATTTATGAAAATAATTGAATTGAATAAAAGAATTTAGTAAATCTGAGGAATTTTGCCATTGATGGAAATAATTGAATTCTTTCGACGAATTTTAATAAAATTTTTAAGAATAATTACATTTTTCAAGGAAATTGATTAAAATTGTATTAAAAATAATTGAAATTCTTCAATGAGTTTTACTATTTATGAAAATAATTGAATATATTGCGAAGAAATTTTTAAAAATAAAATTATAATTATGGTGTCTTCTAACTTTCCTTGATTATTTTCGAAAAATTTAAATAAAATTCTTTAATAGAAGTAAATTATTCTTAACAAAATGTAAAGATATTTCAATTATTTCAAAAATTTTCAATTATTTGTTTTTTACTATCAAATTAATTATTTTTAACTAATTCAAATTTAGAGAACAGTATAAATATCTATAAAAATTGAAGTAAAAAGCGATTCTTTAAAAAAAATTAAAATAATAATATAATAATAATATTTTTAACATTTTTAATTACATATTTCCAAAAATAATAACATTTTAGAATTATTTTTAACATTTTCGAGAAAACAATAATGTTCAACATTTTTAATTAAAATTCATCAAATAATTCATTAGTTTTTTTAAATTATACAAAAATTCTTTTAAGAAATACAATTATTTTTTAAATTTAATTTTTCGAAAAATTACATTAATAAAATATTTTTAAGAACTAATTATTAGAATTGTTTTGTGATAATCTTTTAAGTTTCAAAATTTACTTTTTGGACTTATTAAAATTTTCGAGAAATCATGGTCCTGTTTATAATTAAAATTCTTCAAAAATTTGATCATTTTTATTTCCACTTTTCAAAAATTCAATTATTTTTAAAAGATTTTACCAAATTTTAATAGTTTGGAAATTTTTCAAAATTGAAAAACTATTATCGTTCAAAAATTATTTAAAATTATTAAAAAAAAATTAATTGTAAGCATTTCTTTATTATAATTTTTTGAAAATATTATACCTTAATAACTTTAGAAAAAACTATGGAGTGTCACAATTATTATAAAAAATTGAGTTTATGTATTTAAATAATTGAACTCTAGAAGAAATTTTGGAAAATTATTTAAATTAATTGATTCAGAGATGAAGTTTAGTTGAAAATTGTAGACAATAATTAAATTCAGGAAGGGTTATAATTGTAATTTTTAGAAATTATTAAAATTAATAAATTTTACTCATTTTCCGTAAACATTAATATTTTCCACTTAGTATAAAAAGAATTTTGTTAGGGAAAGTAATTTTAATGTCAGTACATTGTCAGAGAAATTGATAAACTGAAACTTGTGACCACCCTAAGTATTAAAGGAGCGCGAATTTCAATCGCACGGGTTTACAACAAAATCTAAAAAAAATTCCATGATCCGATTAGAAATTTTATGAGATTTCCATGATTCCATGAATCAAAATGATATCCCATGGCAATTCCATGATTTCCATGACTTGTAGAAACCCTGTGATTGATAAAGTCAAAAAATTACATTAAATATTATTGATTACCTATCAAATAAATATTTACTTGACAATAATAATATAATATTGATAATAATATTTACTCGGTAATATAATAATTATAATATAATTTATTTTATAACTATTATAATTATAATATAATTTATTATAATTATTAGAGTTGTGCAAAAAGCTCGATCGAGTATTTCAAGCTTTTCGTTTTTCTAGCAGAGCTGAGCAGAATCAATCCGAACTTGAACCAAATTCCATCCAACACGTGCAGTATTAAACCTAAAATAATTTTGAGCACTTGAATTTTTCGAGCACTCAAATATTTTTGAGTAACTAAAACTCGAGCCCGGCTCGAGCTCGACCATGCTATTCGAGCTTTTTGCACACCTCTAATAATTATAATATAAATAATTTTTTCATTTTGTCTCCTTATATTAAAATCGTTGTAAAATATCTAGCGTTTCAATTCAATTAATCAATATTAATTCTATAATTAGTACCAATATAAAAAAATTCATATTTAAATTTGTATAAAAAAAACCAGACGCTGAAAATTCATTAAATATTAATAATTCTATAATTAAAAGAAAATAATTCTACATTAAAGCTATTTTAAAATAATCTAGCGTTGCAAAATTATTAAGTTTCAATAGACCTATAATTAGTATAAATATTTTTATATTAAACAGATTCTAAAATAATCCAGCGCTACAAACTTATTAAATTATAATAATTCTATAATTAGTATAAATATTTTAATATCAGAGATATTCTAAAATAACCAAGTGCATCAAAATTTATTAGCTAATAATAATTCTATAATTAGCGAAAATATTTTTATATTAAAGTTATTCTAAACTTCTAAAGTAAGCTGGCGTTGCAAACTTAATAATTTATAGTAATTCTATATTAAGTATTTTAATATTAGATTCATTCAAAAATAACCTGGCGTTGTAAATTTATTAATAATTTTATAATTAGTAAAAATGTTGTTTATTTAAAAATATTTAAACATTGGTTTATATTTTTTTACTCTATTTTCTTTAATAATTTGAATTTTGATAAAATGTTTACATTCAACCTTCATCTTTGAATGTTGACGTTCAAAGTTGAGTTTAACATTTACAATCTTGGTCCAATATTGATCTGATAATTACCTAATTAATAATTAATACTAATAATACTAATAATTTTATATATTTTTTTATATAATTATTTTATATAAATAATTATTATTATTACCATCTTCATATTTTATAATAATTAAAGATGACCGAGTGATAAAGTCATTACTTACAATAATAATTATTATTATCATATTATTATATTATTGTGGTTAATATTATAAGCTAATAACTAAATAAAAAAATTTTTATCAATTAGTTTTCCCTAAATAAATTTAATTGCTGTTTCGAGTTAAAGAAAAAACTTTGTGTGGGTTGAATGTCAATAATGTGGCAATTTTTTATCAGCTTTTACGAACGCATGAATATGAAAACAAGGGTTTTTTTTGTTTCTCTCCCCTTTGATAACATAAAGGCTCCATGTGAAAGCAAGAGTGAAGATTTAATCATAAATTTCACTTACCGTTCCAAGGGCAGCCGTAAAGTTCCACTCGCATACACACAGTTCGAATATGTGTCGTGTATGGTATAAAGCGGATTTTAGTCGCTATTATCGGTGGATAGAAGATCTGTTCCTTCTCCTCGTTCGCATTATTATTGCCCAGCAATAACTGCAAAAAAAAAGAAGAGAAAATACATTTATAGTTTTTTTTAAATAAATAAATTAGTCACTAATTTAAATTTTATAAACTGAAAGTGACATCCAACCCTGACTATATATTCAATTATTTTAATACAAACATAAATAATTTATTGAATAATTGAATGTTTATTAAAATTGAATAGTTATACATAATTTTATCAACAAATTTGTAAATAATTGAATATTATTTTAATAAAATTTCTTAAATGAATTCAATTATTTAAAAAAAATGTAATAAAAATTCTTCACAAGAATTCAATTATTCTCCTAAATAATAATATTCCTCACAGGATTTCAATTATTTTTAATACAATTTTAAGTATATTCTTCGAAAAAAATATAATTATTTTTAAAAATATTCAAAATTCAATTATTTTTGAAAATTTATACTATAATGCTTTTATACAATTATTATGTAAAATTTTAACTGTAATTCATTTTTAAATCAATTTTTGTTCAAAAATTCTACAAGAATTCAATTATTTCAATACAAAAATAAATAATTTATTGAATAAATGAATGTTTTTCAAAATTGAATCCTCATAAAGAATTTTATCAACAAATTTTTAAATAATTGAATTTTTTCGACGAATTTTAATAAAATTCTCAAGTATAATTACATTTTTCGAGGAATTCGATTAAAAATTATATTATAAATAATTGAAATTCTATGAGTTTTATTATTCATGAAAATAATTGAATATCGATCCTGTAAAGGTCCTTAAATTTGCTTCAAATTCGTAAAAGTCATGTTTTTTAAAAAAAGGTCCTTAAAATCAGTAATTTTATTAAAAAAGTAGGAAAAGTATTTCATGTTTTATAGTTATGAAAAAATAATAATTTTTTTTATTTATTTTTTTATTTATATTTAAAAATTTTATTATTTATGAAAATAATTTAATGATGCTTTAAATTTTATTAAAACTTTTTTTTAAATAATTGAAATCTTTTGAAAAATTTTATTATAAAATAATAGATATATTGAAAATGATTCAATTGAGAAAAAGTTTTAAAAATAATTAAATTTTGGAGAAGAATTTTATTACTTTGAAAGATAATTGAAATTTTAACGTGGCATTTTCAAAAATTGTTAAACATAATTGAATTCCTGCGAAGAATATTATTTATTCATATTAAAAATATGAAAAATTCAAATTTTCAAAGATTTTAATTCGAAACTTACACAAAATTCAATTATTTCTAAAAATTCAAGCTATAATGCTTTTATTAATCAATTATTATCTAAAATTTTAACTGAAATTCATTTTTAAATCAATTTTTATAAGAAAATTCTACTAGAATTCAATTATTTAAATAAAAAAGAACAATTTATTGAATAATTGAATGTTTCTTAAAATTGAATTCTCATAAAGAATTTTATCAGCAATTATTTAAATAATTGAATTCTTTTGACGAATTTTAATAAAATTTTTAAGACCAATTACATTTTTCGAGGAATTTGATTAAAATTGTATTAAAAACAATTGAAATTCTGCCATAAGTTTTATTATTTATGAAAATAATTGAATTCCTAAAAAGAATTTTATTATTTACTAAAATAATTGAATCCCCGTAAAAATTTTATTATTTATGAAAATAATTGAATGATTACGAAGAAATTTATAAAATATTTGTAAATAATTGAATTCCTGTGAAATTTTTATTATTTTATGAAAATAATTAAAGGTTTGTGTAGAATTTTATTAATTTTTTTTTGAAATTCTTTTGGAAAATTTTATCAAAATAATAGATATTAAAAATCATTAAATTGAGGAAAATTTTTGAAAATAATTGAAATTTTTCCAAGAATTTTATTAAAATTTTTGAAAATAATTAAATATCGAAGAAGAATTTTATTATTTCTAATGATAATTGAATTTTTGACGAGAATTTAAAAAAAATTTTAAACATAATTGAATTTTATTACTTTTGAAAATAATTGAATTTCTGCAATCATTTGTAATTTCTCTAAAATTCTCAAAATTATATCGTACAATTTACGAATTTTTCATACTTTTTCAATCAAATTACGGACTTTACGAACCTTTTTTTTTTAAAAAAAAACGGACTTTTACGGACTTTAAGTAAAGTTACGGACTTTTGCGGGATTTAGCCCTGATGTGAACAAAATTCGAAAAGCGGTCCAACCCTGACTATTAAAAATTTTTTTGTAGAATAGATTTTCTTGTTGTATTATATTTTGGAATAAGAAAATCTATAGATATACAAAAAAAAATCTATTTATTATTTTGCAAAAACGTACAAACAAGGAAGAAATTTTTTTTTTTCTGGAAATAAGTATACTTGGTTGGGAGAGGGAGGGAGTCGTTTCTGAACCAAGAGCCGATAAACGCACTCTGTCAGTCAATGGCCCTCAATGAATTTTAAACGAGCCATTCAAATTGAATTGGTTAATTAGGAAAGTGCACTCAATGGCAACGACAATGGTCAATGGAGCGTGTTTATGAATCTAAGAAGGATTCTTATGGAGCTCGACCTCATTTTCTCATTTTGATTAGTATACAAACGTTCTTGTTGTATAGATACCGAACCTTCTCTCTAAATGTAAATTTTAACATTAAATCTGCAAAATAAGTTTTCCCCTATCTTACTCTTCCATTTGCTGACTCAAATATCCAACCAAGTTGAATTTAATTATTATTAATAGTATTCTATTTGATAATAATGAAAATTTACAACCTTATCAATTTACTATAAACGTTCAATTTACATTCTTATTTCTTATAAATGAAAATTATCAATAAATTTTTTATTTTCTGTACTAAAAAATATAAAAATCAATTAGAGCATTTTTTCTCTCGAATTACGAAGAATTGAATAGAATTAAATAAAATAACTGTTAGAGCCGAATTTGAAAAAATTAAATAAATTAATTTAATAATATCAAATTTTTAAAGAAACTTTAACTAAACGTGTCCTTCGGACAAAATAATTTGTAAAGGGTAGTGGATTCTTCCCTCTACTTGGTTATTGGTTCAACCAAGGGGTGAGAATCCTATCCCTTGAATTTGGAGAAGATAGGATAGTTTTAGGAATAATTAAATTATAAGCAAAAATAAGATTAAACAATATAAGATATATATTTTCCCAATATCCCTATTACAGATAAATCTAATTTTATGTGTAAGAAGAGTAAGTGTATCTGTGCGTGTGAATGAGATAATCGTGTGTGTCGTAAAATGTAAGATGTTTTTACTCACTACTTGGTATTCTGTACTTCGAAATTCGAATCCAATGACGAATCTTGTTTTTATCCTCTTTACTATGAACTTTAATATTCCTTAGATAATGCACAATGCTGAGACTTCAATTCTTTTACTCTTTAACATAATTTATGATTTCTTTAAATTTATTTTCATTTCTTTTATTTTAATATTTCTTTTCAATTCCCTATATTTAATTTTTATTAAGTAAATTCTCTCTATTTATTTTCTTTCACTATATTTCAATATTTTTCTTATATTTCTTTGATTCCTTTAATTACACAATTTAATTATTTATATTCAATATATATATTTTCAATTCAATCTTCTTTAACTTTTATTTATTTATATTATTCTCAATTGTATTCACTTTCTTTAAACAAACTTTTTATTCTACCGTTAGACTTTCGATACGATTAACACGGCTAAATGCCGGACTTAGAACTTCAGGCTACAATGGCCTGGACTAAAACTGCGGGCCTAAACTGCCCGGGCTAACTGCCGGCTACAACGGCCTGGCTTAAACTGCCCAGATTTCCCAGTGTCAATCAATTTTATTGAAAGACAATTTAGTGGGGAAATCGTATGTTAAGTTCATTGTACTCGACTGTTGTCAAGTCAATTTCTGCAACCTTGCAGATTTAAGCAGTGGTGTGATCCGAGTTCAGTGACTTGGATGCACCACTCCTTATATTGAGCAATTTAACTTTGATATTTTCTAACTAATTTTCAAAAGGGTCAATAAACTGTTTTTCAAGAAAAAGGAATTCATTAAGAAACACTTTACTATATTGTCAGGTTTTTCACCTCGGAATTGCGAAACCTAAAGGAATGTTAAATTCAATTAAATCTTATATTTATATAGAATTAGAATTTCTATGTCATTAAAAATGCCCTGGATTAAAATATTCAAAAGAGGGAATGTCCTTTTGTGAGATTACATAGGGTTATTTTGTGTAAGCGTTTCATGATGTGTTAACAAAATATTGTGTTGTGTGTAATTTGGTTTTTAAAGTATTATAAATAATCATTTATAATATAAAAGTTACGGAGTTCGGCCGTAACAATAACTACAAACAAAAAAGAGCTTATTAAAAATAAAACAATTCAATAAAAATACATGAAAATAAAAAACTATTTTATTCGAAAATTCCTTAAATTCTATTTCTTATCGAAACAAATTTGTTAAAATGTTTGAACCTCTAACACCCCCTACAATCACATTTTTTTTTTGTTTCATTTCCTATTTTTTTCCTTTTTTCATTCCTCTCTATTTTCAACGTTATGAAAGTTTTTACAATCGTTGAAATCAAATGAAACTATTTTTTGCTCCACTTTTCACGTTGGTTTCATTCTCATTTTTCAATAACGAACTTTCGGTCTGATTTGGTCTTCGATTTTACGTTAATCCGGTTTGCGAATTCTGCCCTTTGGGAAAGTATTTCCAATGAAAATTTTGATCACATACCCTATTATTCAATAAAAATGTTTTCAATGTTCTATACGTTTATTCAAATTGGTAGAAAAGCGAATCGCTCTATATAAAGAAAAGTTCTTTTTTTTTGTTTTATTCCATGTAATTGTTGATCGAAATTACTTCCTTGTTTGCAATTTAATGTTTGTGTTACAATGTAAAATAATTTTTCAATTAAGTAATTGTATTTGCAAATGTGCGCAAATTATTCCGATACATTTATTTTCAATGTTTCGAATTAAATTTAATTTTATCACAATAGACGGATGA